CAAAAAACCGAATGCGTGGTGAATGCAGTCAAATGAAATCATTATCGTAATGATCGCCATTAAAGATCATTAGATGAGAAAACATTATCTGAGTCATAATTTGCATGAAATTTAATAGTCAATATTTTAATGGCACAAAAATTAGTGGCGTATTTATCGTGATTAGGTGATATGGTAAGGTGACCATATATTCATTAAAAACGTAACGCCTTGGATAGGCCTTGAAAAACTAGTCTTTAAAAAATCCACGCCTTGGATAGGCCTTGAAAAACTAGTCTTTAAAAAATCCACGCCTTGGATAGGCCTTGAAAAACTAGTCTTTAAAAAATCCACGCCTTGGATAGGCCTTGAAAAACTAGTCTTTAAAAAATCCACGCCTTGGATAGGCCCTTGAAAAACTAGTCTTTAAAAAATCCACGCCTTGGATAGGCCTTGAAAAACTAGTCTTTAAAAAATCCACGCCTTGGATAGGCCTTGAAAAACTAGTCTTTAAAAAATCCACGCCTTGGATAGGCCTTGAAAAACTAGTCTTTAAAAAATCCACGCCTTGGATAGGCCTTGAAAAACTAGTCTTTAAAAAATCCACGCCTTGGATAGGCCTTGAAAAACTAGTCTTTAAAAAATCCACGCCTTGGATAGGCCTTGAAAAACTAGTCTTTAAAAAATCCACGCCTTGGATAGGCCTTGAAAAACTAGTCTTTAAAAAATCCACGCCTTGGATAGGCCTTGAAAAACTATTCCTTAAAAAATCCACGCCTTGGATAGGCCTTGAAAAACTAGTCTTTAAAAAATCCACGCCTTGGATAGGCCTTGAAAAACTAGTCTTTAAAAAATCCACGCCTTGGATAGGCCTTGAAAAACTAGTCTTTAAAAAATCCACGCCTTGGATAGGCCTTGAAAAACTAGTCTTTAAAAAATCCACGCCTTGGATAGGCCTTGAAAAACTAGTCTTTAAAAAATCCACGCCTTGGATAGGCCTTGAAAAACTAGTCTTTAAAAAATCCACGCCTTGGATAGGCCTTGAAAAACTAGTCTTTAAAAAATCCACGCCTTGGATAGGCCTTGAATAACTAGTCTTTAAAAAATCCACGCCTTGGATAGGCCTTGAAAAACTAGTCTTTAAAAAATCCACGCCTTGGATAGGCCTTGAAAAACTAGTTTTTAAAAAATCCACGCCCTGGCTAGACCTTGAAAAAATATTCTTTCAAAACCCCAAGCCTTGGTTAGACCTTGAAAAAGTCTTCTTTCAAAACCCCAAGCCTTGGTTAGACCTTGAAAAAGTCTTCTTTAAAAATCCACGCCTTGGGTTGGCTTTAGAAAAGTTTTCTTTAAAAATCCACGCCTTGGGTTGGCTTTAGAAAAGTCTTCTTTAAAAATCCACGCCTTGGTGGCTAGGTCTTGAAAAACTAGTCTTTAAAAACTCCACGCCTTGGTTAGGCCTTGAAAAACTAGTCTTTAAAAAATCCACGCCTTGGATAGGCCTTGAAAAACTAGTCTTTAAAAAATCCACGCCTTGGATAGGCCTTGAATAACTAGTCTTTAAAAAATCCACGCCTTGGATAGGCCTTGAAAAACTAGTCTTTAAAAAATCCACGCCTTGGATAGGCCTTGAATAACTAGTCTTTAAAAAATCCACGCCTTGGCTAGACCTTGAAAAAATATTCTTTCAAAACCCCAAGCCTTGGTTAGACCTTGAAAAAGTCTTCTTTCAAAACCCCAAGCCTTGGTTAGACCTTGAAAAAGTCTTCTTTAAAAATCCACGCCTTGGGTTGGCTTTAGAAAAGTTTTCTTTAAAAATCCACGCCTTGGGTTGGCTTTAGAAAAGTTTTCTTTAAAAATCCACGCCTTGGGTTGGCTTTAGAAAAGTCTTCTTTAAAAATCCACGCCTTGGTGGCTAGGTCTTGAAAAACTAGTCTTTAAAAACTCCACGCCTTGGTTAGGCCTTGAAAAACTAGTCTTTAAAAAATCCACGCCTTGGATAGGCCTTGAAAAACTAGTCTTTAAAAAATCCACGCCTTGGATAGGCCTTGAATAACTAGTCTTTAAAAAATCCACGCCTTGGCTAGACCTTGAAAAAATATTCTTTCAAAACCCCAAGCCTTGGTTAGACCTTGAAAAAGTCTTCTTTCAAAACCCCAAGCCTTGGTTAGACCTTGAAAAAGTCTTCTTTAAAAATCCACGCCTTGGGTTGGCTTTAGAAAAGTTTTCTTTAAAAATCCACGCCTTGGGTTGGCTTTAGAAAAGTTTTCTTTAAAAATCCACGCCTTGGGTTGGCTTTAGAAAAGTCTTCTTTAAAAATCCACGCCTTGGTGGCTAGGTCTTGAAAAACTAGTCTTTAAAAACTCCACGCCTTGGTTAGGCCTTGAAAAACTAGTCTTTAAAAAATCCACGCCTTGGATAGGCCTTGAAAAACTAGTCTTTAAAAAATCCACGCCTTGGATAGGCCTTGAATAACTAGTCTTTAAAAAATCCACGCCTTGGCTAGACCTTGAAAAAATATTCTTTCAAAACCCCAAGCCTTGGTTAGACCTTGAAAAAGTCTTCTTTCAAAACCCCAAGCCTTGGTTAGACCTTGAAAAAGTCTTCTTTAAAAATCCACGCCTTGGGTTGGCTTTAGAAAAGTTTTCTTTAAAAATCCACGCCTTGGGTTGGCTTTAGAAAAGTTTTCTTTAAAAATCCACGCCTTGGGTTGGCTTTAGAAAAGTCTTCTTTAAAAATCCACGCCTTGGTGGCTAGGTCTTGAAAAACTAGTCTTTAAAAACTCCACGCCTTGGTTAGGCCTTGAAAAACTAGTCTTTAAAAAATCCACGCCTTGGTTAGGCCTTGAAAAACTAGTCTTTAAAAAATCCACGCCTTGGTTAGGCCTTGAAAAACCAGTCTTTAAAAAATCCACGCCTTGGTTAGGGCTTGAAAAACTAGTCTTTAAAAAATCCACGCCTAGGTGGTTAGGTCTTGAAAAAATATTCTTTAAAAAATCCACGCCTTGGTGGTTAGGTCTTGAAAAAATATTCTTTAAAAAATCCACGCCTTGGTGGTTAGGTCTTGAAAAATTACTCTTTAAAAAATCCACGCCTTGAATAGGCCTTGAAAAACTAGTCTTTAAAAAACCCACGCCTTGGTGGTTAGGTCTTGAAAAATTAGTCTTTAAAAAATCCACGCCTTGGTTAGGCCTTGAAAAACCAGTCTTTAAAAAATCCACGCCTTGGTTAGGGCTTGAAAAACTAGTCTTTAAAAAATCCACGCCTAGGTGGTTAGGTCTTGAAAAAATATTCTTTAAAAAATCCACGCCTTGGTGGTTAGGTCTTGAAAAAATATTCTTTAAAAAATCCACGCCTTGGTGGTTAGGTCTTGAAAAATTACTCTTTAAAAAATCCACGCCTTGAATAGGCCTTGAAAAACTAGTCTTTAAAAAACCCACGCCTTGGTGGTTAGGTCTTGAAAAATTAGTCTTTAAAAAATCCACGCCTTGGTGGTTAGGTCTTGAAAAATTAGTCTTTAAAAAATTCACGTCTTGGTGGTTAGGTCTTGAAAAACTAGTCTTTAAAAAATGCACGCCTTGGTCAGGCCTTGAAAAAATATTCTTTAAAAAATCAACGCCTTTGGTAGACCCTTGAAAAATATTCTTTAAAAAATCCACGCCTTGGTTAGGCCTTGAAAAACTAGTCTTTAAAAAATCCACGCCTTGGTTAGGCCTTCAAAAAGTAGTCTTTAAAAAATCGATGCCTGAGTATTTTTTTCAAATTGACTTGATTTTGAAAACCACAACAAAATGTATGTGTGTGTGTGTTTGTTTTGTTGTGAAGTGTATCGAACCAAAACTAATGCCCCACCAACTCCAAAATCAGAACTGATGTGCCAGTTTGTCTGTATTTTGTGAAGTGTGGGATGTGATTTTTCGAATGATGGACTTGTAACAGAAAATTGTTAACAAAAATTTCGTGACTTCTTGTTTTTTGAAATGAGTCAACGAATATTTAACATATCGTGTTAGGAAGTGATCTAAATATGGAGAGTCGGCGGATTGACGTCATTTTATCTGTAAACAAACTAAAAATTTTAAAGTAAAAAATAATTTCAAAGTGAAATCAAAATTGAATTGGAATTTTTTCAAAGAATATTTTTTTCAAAGGTCACCTTAGCGAGAATTTTTTTAAAAAATATATATTTTTCCAAGAGCCATCATAAGCGTGGATTTTTTTTTTATATATTTGTCTAAGGACCAGTAAAGTTGTGTTTTTTTTATTTTAATATTTTTTTCATGGGCCACCTTAGTATTGGTAGGAGCATAGGAACTGATTTTTTTCTGGAGCCACCTTAGGCGTGGATTTTTCAAAAGATATTTTTTCAGGAGCCACCGTAGGTTTGGATTTTTCAAGAGAGCACCATTGGCGTGAAATAGGCGCGGATTTAAAAAAAAAAAATAGTTTTCAGTGCTCGGATTTTTTAAAAAATATTTTTGCAAAGGCCACCATAGACGGGAATTCAAAGATTTTTTAAAAAATATTTTGTTAAAGCCAAAATTATCTTTTTTTTTGGCCTACAATGCTGATGAAGATGATCCAATCTTTTTTTAATGTTTCTGATGATGATGACAGACCTTTTAAATTCTGATGAACTCATCTTGTCCAGCCACACACACATACACTTCCAATTTTATTGCCCATTTAATTTTGTTGGACCATTAAGATAATTTTTCTTCCCGACCGGCCGATTTATGGCCGTCCGCTTAATTTCTTAATTAATACAATTAAACTAAAGCGTAATCTTTTGCGATTGGAGGTTAAATAGCAACAATTAATAAAAATTAAAAAACATATATTAGAAAACAACAACAACAAAAATAATTTGCTAAAAATAAACATAAACATGGTATAACGTAATAATGGGCTGGCAGAGCCACCACAGTGATGGCATCGACTCAAAAAAATGAAGAATGACAACAGCAATAAAAAATCACAACAACAAGAAGAACAACAACAACTTCCACTTTGCATACATACCTCCAAAATTGGCTTTTGACATGCCTGACATGTGCCAGAATAATTTTGTAGGAAACATTTGGAGCAAACCGGTTCACCTTCCTGTATATTGAAGGTGGCCTCTTGTATCGGCTGTTGGCAGTCTTTGCAGGCAAAATGTTCCGGATGCCAGGTCTTGCCAAGGGCCGTGATGATACGTTGGGTAATCACTTCGTTGCATTTGTGACAAACGGAATCAGACTGAAAAGAAACAAACAAGAAACAAAAAATTAGTACACAACAACAAATTTAAAAAAATGTTTTAGGATTTTTTAAAGAATATTTTTTTCAACAGCTAACCAAGGCGTGGATTTTTTAAAGACTAGTTTTTCAAGGCCTATCCAAGGCGGAGATTTTTTAAAAACTAATTTTTCAAGGCCTATACAAGGCGTGGATTTTTAAAGCATATTTTTTTTAAGACCTAACCACCAAGGCGTGCAGTTTTTAAAGACTAGTTTTTTCAAGGCCTATCCAGGGCGTGGATTTTTTAAAGACTAGTTTTTCAAGGCCTATCCAAGGCGTGGATTTTTTAAAGACTAGTTTTTCAAGGCCTATCCAAGGCGTGGATTTTTTAAAGACTAGTTTTTCAAGGCCTATCCAAGGCGTGGATTTTTTAAAGACTAATTTTTCAAGGCCTATCCAAGGCGTGGATTTTTTAAAGACTAGTTTTTCAAGGCCTATCCAAGGCGTGGATTTTTTAAAGACTAGTTTTTCAAGGCCTATCCAAGGCGTGGATTTTTTAAAGACTAGTTTTTCAAGGCCTATCCAAGGCGTGGATTTTTTAAAGACTAGTTTTTCAAGGCCTAGACAAGGCGTGGATTTTTTAAAGAATATTTTTTCAAGGCCAAACCAAGGCGTGGATTTTTTAAAGAATATTTTTTCAAGGCCAAACCAAGGCGTGGATTTTTTAAAGACTAGTTTTTCGAGGCCTATCCAAGGCGTGGATTTTTTAAGGACTAGTTTTTCAAGGCCTATCCAAGGCGTGGATTTTTTAAAGACTAGTTTTTCAAGGCCTATCCAAGGCGTGGATTTTTTAAAGACTAGTTTTTCAAGGCCTATCCAAGGCGTGGATTTTTTAAAGACTAGTTTTTCAAGGCCTAGACAAGGCGTGGATTTTTTAAGACTAATTTTTCAAGACCTAGACAAGGCGTGAATTTTTTATGACTAATTTTTCAAGGCCAAGACAAGGCGTGGATTTTTTAAAGAATATTTTTTCAAGGCCAAACCAAGGCGTAGATTTTTTAAGGACTAGTTTTTCGAGGCCTATCCAAGGCGTGGATTTTTTAAGGACTAGCTTTTCAATGCCTAGACAAGGCGTGGATTTTTTAAAGAATATTTTTCCGAGGCCTAGACAAGGCGTGGATTTTTCAAAGACTAGTTTTTCAAGGCCTATCCAAGGCGTGGATTTTTTAAAGACTAGTTTTTCAAGGCCTATCCAAGGCGTGGATTTTTTAAAGACTAGTTTTTCAAGGCCTATCCAAGGCGTGGATTTTTTAAAGACTAGTTTTTCAAGGCCTTTTCGAGACCTAACCACCAAGACGTGAATTTTTTAAAGACTAATTTTTCAAGACCTAACCACCAAGGCATCAAGATTTTTTAAAGACTAATTTTTCGAGACCTAACCACCAAGGCGTGGGTTTTTTAAAGACTAGTTTTCAAGGCCTATTCAAGGCGTGGATTTTTTAAAGAGGTCATTTTTTCAACCTAACCAAGGCGTGGATTTTTTAAAGAATATTTTCAAGACTAACCACCAAGGCGTGGATTTTTTAAAGAATATTTTTTCAACCTAACCACCTGCAGCGTGGATTTTTTAAAGACTAGTTTTCGAGCCCTAACCAAGGCGTGGATTTTTTAAAGACTCATTTCAAGGCCTAGACCAAGGCGTGGGATTTTTTAAAGACTAATTTTCAAGACCTAACCACCAAGGCGTGGGAGAACAGTTTCAAAGCCTATTCAAAGTAA